TCATGATATGTGTGATGGGTGAATGCTAATAATTGCATTGTTGTTAAAGATAACATGACAAATGTATGTTTTGTGCAATGGTGAGATAATTCATTTTGATGGATTATTGTGATATGCAATATGATTAAGGTTTGGTGACAATCTTAATTTACATATATTTGGTTATGTTTTCACATGCATACATGGGGAGATTGAACTTTAGTCGGTTGCTTTGATCCTTCTGTGAAAATAGAAGCGGTGGACTATATGTTCATAATGATGGACTTTGATCTTGTCTGGATCGGAAGCGTGGCTCTGATTCTAGATATGGAATTGAGAGTGAGGTGAGCTTGATGTTTACGATGGTACCACATGCATGAGTCGCATTGGAGTCACCTTTGTTGTTATGTAATGTTTTGCTTTGATGCGTAATATATGTGATAATTGGTTTGATCGTGACATTTGTGATGTTTGTAATATATGTGATATTTGAATTATTTATTACATTGATGTTACTTCGGTGGAAATTGTGCTATATGCGATGATTGTGTGAATTGTTCTACTTGGTATACTTGTAATGTTTGGATATAATTGTTTTGGTACTTGGAATGGTAAATCCATGTTGTATAGATAATTATATGAAGTGTTATAAATTCTTTGGATGTGTGTGTGTTATACATTGTTTACATTTTATATATTCATAATGATGTGAATTCTCACCCTTCTGTTGGAATGGTGTTCTATGCGACATCGCTCAGGTACCGAAGATAGTGATGCTTCGCACGAGGATAGTTGAGGAGCTTAGCTTGGTTTATCCGTTTTTCCTAGGTAGTGAGTCAATGCTCTGGTCATGTAACACAGAGGATATTTGAACTCATATTTGTTGTGAAGATATTTTGTTATATTCTCTTATTTTGTTTGTATTTTGAGATAATATGTTGGGTGGTCTTAATGCCCAATATTTTGGATTCGTATGACTTGTTATGTGTGAATTGTTGCTATCTTGGTATATGATTATAGTATGGAATATAATCATTTGATAAAATTTTGAGTAAAAAAATATTCCGCTGTGATTGCATAGTTGTGGAAACATGAAGTTTGAATATGTGTTATGTATTATGATCAAGTGCATGTTGATGAATTTTTGTTGGTTTTCTATGTTTTGGAAAACGACACGTGACTCCCTTTGAATATTATGCATGTTATCTTACTTTGTTTTATATTATATTTGCTTAGGGTTAGAAAGGGGTGTTACATATATCGTGGAACTCAAACACCATATGCCATAGAGGTATATGCTATTGCATGGTGATGCGAAACCATGAATTAAACCAAGGATGATTGGTGAAGAATAACAATGATGTGTATATCGTGGAACTCAAACACCATATGCCGAGAGGTATATGCTATTGCATGGTGATACGAATGCCGAGAGGTATGTACACTGATCAAATTATTTTAAATAAAAATCGAACTCGGTATTCTCTAAACCTTCGTTCTTAAGTAGAAACTTATTTACCACTCAAGCCCAAGTATTTAATTAATTTAATTTGAATTCTAGTTTAATTTAGATTTTGATAGGAACAATAAACACTTCTAGTTGGGTTACTCTAGACTTTGTCGGCTCTAAATGAATCCTCGACTAAGGGATACCAAGTATTTAAAAAAATGAATTTTTTCTTTACACCTAGTAGTGGTGATTTTCACCACTGAAAACCTGAAAAATACCCTTCACAAGTGCACTTGCAAAGTCATCTCGCAGTAGGTTTCGCATGTGCACATGCGAATAAACCATTTTTTTTTACATATTTAGAGGTTGTTTCGCAAGTGCACATGCGAAACCTGCTGCGAGGTGACTTCGCAAGTGCACTTGCGAAACTTCCTCTGTTTGTGTCATTTTTGTTTAAAACTACATCAATTCCACTATTTCACAATCGGACAATTTTTCTACAATTTTATCAAAAATATAAAACGAACATAACAATACGGTTAAAATAGATGTTCATACATAATTTTATACATAAATTGTTTGGAAAGTAAGTATGGTCAAAATATTATAACAAAAAAAAAACATAACACAGGCTACTGCATATGCCTAATCTTAACTCCCTACGCCCTCATATTCCTGTTGTACACGATGCACCAGATGCCTCTCTGACCATCCTCTCAACTATGTCAACCGCCTCAGCACTACCCGTCTCGATAATCCCTCTATCAAAAGTCTCCTGCCCAAGTAGGTGGATCTGCTGATAGATCGGCAATAGATCAACGACATGGTCATCCTCAACCTGCTGGTTCTTTAAGAGCTCCTTATGAGCTAGCCTAGGTGGGCGTCCAGGACCATCCAATGTCATGAGAAGGTGTGACACGTTAAAGAACCATGTCACATAACCCTCTACACAGGGCCAACTCTGGGATGCCAGCATCATCCGATACTCCAGTGGCACCAAAGAATTCTCCCAATTCTAGAAGATGCCATTGAGATCCCGCCGTACCATGGTGTATGAAGCATCTTGAAAAGGAGATCTAGGTATCATCTGCACATATCCAAATTGGCAGATACATCGCTCTAGAAGATATCTGACCATAATATTCGACCCACATGCTAGCCACCCCGAGTATAAGGAGATGGGATCGAATGCCATAACCCCTATGTAATCCTCAAACAGCGTCCAATTGATGTCATCATGGTTGGTGCGATCAAGATACACCTGGTACATCGCCATTTTATGGTTCCCTCTATGGAGAATATACTTGGCATCCCTTGGCATGTTGTCAGTATATTCCTCATCTGGTTCAAAACCACGAATGCGGTGGAAATGAGATATTATCCAGCTCTATGAAAATAATAACATAATATGTAAGTACAAATTAATCTAAATAAATTAAAGTTAATAGTTGAAATAAAAGGTACCGTGAGGAGTGTGCATGAGCCAGTGAGCGCTATCGTCCTCCAATTTGAAACTTCATTCAGCTTCTGGTAGAGGTATACCAAAATAGCGCCCCCAACTTCACTCATAAACTTTAGTCAGGTCCATAAAATACCGCAGGTAGGTCACATCGGTATAGGTTCCACTTTTATCTACAAAGACGAATGTGTCGATCAAGAACATAAAGTAACACCGCAAAGCATAATCTCGGTGATACTGAATAAAAACACCAACCTCTTCTTCCTGGGCACTTGGTGCTGCAACCATGTGCTCCTCATACAAATCATTCAGATGGGAGAACTTTATATGTGCCCCATTAGTGGCTCTGCAGTCCTCATATGTTCTATCTGAATTAGCTTCCAGATACTCAACCATCCACTCAATCGCCTCAGCTCGTGATATCTTGTAATGATTAAGTAACCTACCTTTGATAGGTAGGTGGAACAAGCAGGCAACATCATCAAGGATGATGGTCATCTCCCAACATGAAAGTGGAAAGACGACGTCTCTTTGTGCCACCTCTCAGCAAAAGCCCCCAGCATGCCGTGGCTTATAGTGTTGTAACATGTACAACATAATTTGGAAAGACCAGATCCAATCACAACATCATGGAACCACCCAGTCGCAGGTATGAACAACTCAAAAATTTTATGCGAGTGATTCACATGCTTTATGGGCAATCGTTCCTGAAACAAAAAAAGTAATAATTATTACAATCATATTTTTGAGTAAAAAATATAAAATGAAAAAGTACGACAAAAAATATACCTCTCCTTCCAAAACATGGCGAGCAATATGATCATAATAGTAAATCAAGAGGGAGGTGTCAAATGGCCCTCCCGGATAGCCCTGCTCTGCCTGCTCAGGTACTAGAACATGCTCGGGTACCTCATCCCCTCAGGCACCGCGAACTCTTCTGCCGCCTCCGGCTTATCAGGTACCTGCTCATGCGCGCAAGAGGTAGACGCCTGATGCATACGACTCTTTGGTGCAGAAGGGAAAACTACATCCAATTGCTCCCTTTGTATTCGACCACGTCCTCGAGGCCGGTTACCCTGCTGCTTAGTTCTCTCTCGACGAGCCGAGGCAGTCTGGATTGGATTGCCTTGTTGTCTTAACCGCCTGCTTGGGTCCTGATTGTCAGCCATGTTCCTGAAGTAAATAATTATAATTGTTAGATTTTAAATATAAAACAACCCAGACAAGAATTCACAAGTGCACTTGCGAAACTAGTCCAGGATGACTTTGCAAGTGCACTTGCGAAACCCCCTGCGCATAGCCATTTTCAAAGCTGCTTCTTCTTGACCTAAAACACCTAAATCTCAATTTTTTATCACCCAAGCAACTAAATTTACCTATTCTAACACCAACATACACAATGTAATTGTTACAAACTAACCTAATAAACTATTATAAGATTTCATTGTGAATCATAATAAATTGAAGAAAACTTACACAAATTTGAAAACTTAGAGATGATTTTGGGATGACTTGAAATAAATTGAAATGGAGAGATGAATAAAAATGAATGAGTTTGGGTAGTAAAAATGTTAGAATTTAGAGTAGAAAGTGAAAAGTTTTGGTGTTTTGATAAAAAAGGGCTTGAGGATCTATTCTATTCGTTTTGTTAAAACAGTTCACAAAGTTCGTAAATGCACTTGTGAAATAAGAAATTATGAATTACTTAGCAAACTCACGAGCGAAATCATCCTATTTTTGATAATAGGTGGGAAAAGAAATTCCCTTGAATAAAATGCGGACCTGAACGCTATAGTATTATATATATTAAAGAAAATTGGCACCCAGAGAAACGAAACGCTTCCGCGTGTTGGCCACTCCACTGGCCACATTCATTGCTCCAAACGATAATAATTCTGCTCATTTTCTTTCCATCTTTTCTTAATCCATTTCTACCACCTTACATCTCTGAGTATAATTTTTTTAAATCAATTTCCCGTCTAAACCGAAATCAAAACCTAAACCCACGCCCGTTCTTAATTAAAAACCGGTTCTCTTACCTCACATCAACATATAACCTAAAATTCTGTCTCCTCTTTTGTTGTTTGTCTGGTTTTGCGATTCTCAAACATCATGGCTGATAAACAGGTCATTGTCGTTGTCGAAAGTACAGCCGCTATGGGCCCCTTACTGGGACACCCTTCAAATGGATTATCTAGATAAAATTGTCAGGTTCAGTTTTTCTCTCTTTACTTTCTATGCATCCATATTAATATCCTATTTCATTCAGTTCTACCAAAATTAGGGTTTTCTTTTTAGTTTTTCTGGTTATTATGTCTGCCGTGCTCAAATGTGTTGATTGTTTTTGACTATAAAGTGAAAATGTATTTCGGATATAAAGGAGATAAGCGGTTGATTATGTTTATTTTGTAAACTCAAAAGTGTGTTATATGCATTGCCAGTCCCCAAGTTTGTTGTGTTTTGTGACATACAATATTTCATACGCGATCCAAATTGTTTCTTACAGATACTTTACAACATTTTGGTTTAAATCATTTCTTATCTCAAAAACTAAAAAACCTTTTCCTGAATCAAAGTGAACTCCTTTATATGCATCTATTATTACCAAGCCATGAAGCACACACACCTTTGAAAAGACCTCGACACTGACATGAAGCACACACCTCTGAAAAGACCTCGACAAACGTAATCACAAATGTCTCACAAGTGTCAATGCAGGTGTTCGATACCGACACAGACACGGCGACACCGGTAATAATTTGAAAAAAAGAATAAATTGAACGTAATCACAAGTGTCTACAAGTGTCGGTGCATGTGTCCGATACCGCGACAGACACATACCCTTTTTTCAGAGGTGTCGGTGCTACGTAGTTACACAAGTAAACAACTTGTAGTATCATATTGAGAACCAAGACAACACATTGGCGATTGGGATTCAACATAAGTCTAAGCTTAGCATAAATAGTCCTTTGCGTACCAGATTTATACCTTGGCACTTATAAAAGCCAATGTATCGGCCAATTATGCTTAAATGTTGAACACTTTAATTTATATATCTATATCTATATCTATGTATGTATGTATGTAAGTATGTAAGCAAATTTCAGTTATTCCGTCTTATCGCAAGTGTCAAGCTGTATTAAAGGCCATAACATCGTATAGATAATATTATGATCCACATGTTTTAACCTATTGTGGTATTCTTACAGGAGCATTAGTGGGAATGAGTCAACTGGGCAGGTATTACATTTTCTTACTCCGGTGAAAATTTCATTCTTTGAAAAAAAATGAAAGAAAGTATTAGTATCTATCACTTGAACACTTTTGATTTGGCTTATATTGTATTTAGTGAATATATATAGTTATTTTCATTGGTTTTGGATAAAAATCTTTCTCTTTCCCAATGGCTTGACATCTTAAATAGGTTGTTTTAGCTCAAAGTTTTTCTTCTGTTTGGGAGTTGGTTTTTGGGAGTTGTTTTAAATATTTTGAAAAATATCAAACACTTGTCAAAATATAGACGCCACCAAAGCTTTTCATTCCAAAAATCAACTCGCAAACAGACCCTTAAAGAATGCTATTATATATCATTCCCCTAACTCCCATTCTCAACATATCTTGGTAAAGATATTATTGCTAGTGTTTTTAATGCAAAAATTTCCTAAAATCAGTAACCTAAACATCACTAGAAAACATCAGCATGTTGTTTTCTCTTCATTGCCTAGGTTTTATAACCTATATTTAGGTGATATCTCTCGCAATTGTGAGACTTGATTTTTTTTCCAGATGTCTTTCAAATGTCTCTGTTTTTTATTCAATGTTCATTAGGGAATCAAATTGATGTTGCGGAAGAATATTCCAGCATGTCTTGTATGGGTGTTTTTGGCTTCACTGGAGCAATTGAAATTCTACCAGTGATAAAAAAATCTCTGATATCTTGATATTAATTATTACCAATTAGTTAGAATTGGAGAAATTGAGAGATTCATGAAAACTGCTGTTGTGTAATTTAAATGTTGAAGATGTACAAAAGTATGTATATATAGATACACAGAAGAAGGGCTTCTAATTATCGACAAAGACAATTTAACCTATGTTGTTAAACTCAGATAACAGCATGGCGCGACCATCTAGAAAAATGGAACGGACGGGAATCTGGAATAGAACTGTCGTTATTTTAGTAACGCGGATACATACTAATATATTTAATATTAACACATATTTGTTAAAAACTAAATAATTACTCAAGGGTAAAGGAAAAAACAATTTTAAAAAATAAAATATCAATTCTGAAAGATAAATCATTTGAATGAAAAAGAGATAACAGGGATAAAAATGAAAAAAAAAGAAAATAATATAAAAACCGTAAATGAAAAAAAATTAAAAAGAACTCTATCAAATATAAGTAAGAAGGAATAGTATAAAAAAATAAAGAATATAAGGAGAAAGAAAAAAGAAAATAGTAAAGAAGTAAAGAGAGATAAAAACCAGACAAGGCAGTGTCGGCCGTTCCAAGGCGAGTCACCACCGTTCTGCGCCGTTTCTGTTACCAATTTCTCAGTCCTTGCAGCCGCGTCACCCCGAATTTGTCATTCCGGCGTGGGTCTGATGCATTTTGTTGTCCGTCGCCACTTCGTGCTGATATATCGGGCCGGAACGGCTGAGTTTAACAGCTTAGAATCTAAAAGAAAGGGACAACTAGCATGTATCTCTCATAACCGATTAGAGATCCTAATTTATATGCTATGCACATGAGCAATGTCAATTATTGACAATATTGGGAAAACTTAAGTGTTGCATAGACTAGGGATAAGGTGTAAAAATAGTTTATATTGAATAGCCATTCCTCATCTTATAAGTCGTTATATGAGATTAAGTTAGACCCAACCTAAAAATCAAAGACATTATTAGAATCTATCCAAGATCCATCTGCTTGTCCACTATATTATCCACACACCAAGCCCATAGTGCTGGGTGTGAGTTGATGTATTTGGAAAAATTCAAATCCCCCACATTGACTAGAGACTTGTAAATAGTTTATAAATAATTAATATTCATCAATGTAAGAACCACATTTGTGGTGTTCAGTACCTAAAAATCTAAGACAAAAACGAAAAGTTGTTTTGGTAACTCATTACTTAGAAAGATCAGACGTGTATTTGTTTGAATCATACTAGTAAAAATGTGTAATCTCTCTGCCTTATGATTTACCTATTGATTTTATCATTTTACCTTTCTTTTGCAGAAGCCTTCTGTTTTCAACGTTGAGTTTGCCCTAGTCACTTATAATACTCATGGGTGTTATTCAGGTATGATTTTGCTAATTTTCTTATTTTCTACTCTGAATCATTGCTTTGTTAAAGCTGTTCATGCCATAATTTTTGCACAGCCTTACAATTAACTTCTTGCTGCTATCCATGCTAGTTGATTTATTTTTAACCTATACCAGTTTCCATATTTAAATATAAAAATGACTAAACTTATTTGAACCGATAAAATTTCCACAGTTTGATCACACATATGAGTGTGAGATGTTAAACTATAAAACAGACAAGGTTTTTTACTATCGAAACGACAGTCTCTAGGATTTTAGGATGCTTGAATTCTATCTATCTTCTTTTACAATAGCAAGTGTGTGTTCCAAGTGTGGAAAGTTAGACTATAGTGATTTCACCTTCCGTATCATAATCTCTTGGACTTCAAGGATTCTTGAAATCTGCCCAACTCCTTTTACACTAGCAAATTTATTTGCAATGGACAAATCTATTGAGTATTTTTACTTAACTTAGCATCATTGAATGCAGGTATCCTTGTGCAACGCACTGGTTGGACAAGAGACCCTGATGTTTTCTTACAGTGGCTATCATCTATACCCTTTTCTGTGGCGGTTTTAATGATGCAGCAATTGCTGAAGGACTTGCTGAAGCTCTGATGGTACACCATATTTCATGTTTATTCTTTCAACTTTTAAACGATATATGTTGATCCTGGTTCCTTCATAATGTTTCCTTTTAATCCTCTATTATCTGTATCCATATTATTGTGTAGTAGGTAAAAAAGATGTCTTAGTAAGTCCTTCTATAATTCTACGAAATGATCTTCATATTTTCAAATTGTCCACATGCCTAATTTCCATGCAAAAATCCGACAAAAGATCTATCATGTAATATTTTTTT